GCCAGCACATCCCTCAGCCCGCGCCGCTTCCCGCTGCCCCCATTGGCCTGGGACAGCGAACCGCGGCGAGTGGGGGCCACGATCGGCCGAACCTGCCGCGTCAGCAGGTAAATAAACTGGCCTGGCCCGCTAGGGTGCTTACCCTGCCGAGCCGCGTGCCGAACGTTGCCGACCCCTGAGCTAGGACCTGCCACTGAGCATGTCTTAGTACCAATTCACTCAAGCTTCACTCTTGAGTGGAAATAATCCCCTTTATAAGACAAGAATGAACTGAATTATAGCCCTCATCCAAAGTGTACTGGACTTCCATTTACTTTACTCAGCTTTGGATCAGGCCCTGTAACTGTTACTTCATTTTACTGCTGACTTGTACCTATGGTTTAGCTTTCTGTATGTCACCATACTGCCCCACAACTGTAGCAGCAATGTCTATAAAAGCAGACGGGAACTCTAAATTGGGCAAAGTTTCATAACTCTGCTAGCTTTTCTTATGTTTGGGAGACATCACAATTTCTCCATCATATTTTCTATCGGATTAATGGCAGAGAAAGGAAGGGGAAATTGCTACAAATGTTGTTGATTACCTGATGTTCTGGTTCCTCACCAAAGACAACTGTGTTTTCCCCATTTCAAATGAACCCACAGCAGTCCTATTCCTGTTACGCCACAAACCAAAATCTATAGTGCCATGAAGCAGAGGGCCTTTAACACTAAAGCAAGAAGGACATTGCTACATTGTCTGTGAGTTTTGTTAAATCACAAAACTCCAGTTGAGGTCTAAAAATGTTGATTCACTATATCATTATATTTTTGTCTAACTCAGGCAGCAAGTATGACGGGGGGGAAAGCATAATCAGCTATAATGTAGAATACTCTAACACAAGCTGTGAATGGAGCTACTCTGGCATATTATATACATTTACACATTCCCTCTATATTACACACACACACATATGCATACTATGCCTGTAGCGAAGCAAGCCTTGTAATAAATTGCATTTACTATGCATTTACCTTTGGGATTGATAAGTGAACAGACAAAACATTTTGGGATTAGAACAGATTCCAGAAGAAGCTGCCATTCTGAAAATAAGGTATTCTTTCCCCAACTCTGGCTGGAGAACCCACTTGCCTCTAGGTGCCACAACCCTCCTCACCCCGTGCCTTTCCCTGATATGACCAAGGGAGTGGAATCCAACCAATTCATTGTCTCCCTCTTTCTCCCCATGTTGTTTCTTTCAGTCAGAGCTGGGAGCAGCATCCAACCTGCTTACTGTCTTCCCTTCCCTCTTCTGAGCCAATATAACTGTTGATTTGTTATTAGTTTTGCTAATAAGTAGTATGTTAACATTTCCTATCTTTAGTCAGTTCTAATTTATCTTAAGTAGTACACTGAGCTATTGGTACAATTCAGATACTGACAAGAGGTTATTGTATAAGGGTTATTTATATGGTACAACTTGTTCCTTTTTTATTAATCTCTATGCAATAGGATATTGATGTTTTACAGTTAAAGAGATTATATACTCAAATTTAAATGCAAAAATGTATGATGATTTTGCAGTTATAATCCCTTGGTTTCAGATTATCAGATGTCCCCACTTTCTTGTCCAGAGCCAGAGTATAGGTCAAAGTGGAAGAGGGCTCTAGTTGACACAAACTATTGAAAGTAATCTCTTTTCCGGTTTTTATTGCCCCTTCTCAAGAATACAGACTCCCCAACATTTAGGGGCATAGGCACAGTGAGTAGCAGCAGACTATTAGGTATATGAAGGGCAGATGACCAACCTCTTTCCAGGTTGCCATCAATGCTGCTACATAAGCTAGATGTGTTCAGAGCAGGATATAATGGAGACAACAACTAGGCAGTTGGTGCGCTTAGACTGCTGCTTCTTATTCCAAATATAATTGTTTCATCTGCCCTGTTTGTTTTTCTCCACTTGTCTTTTGGCATATGCTAAGGTTGTAATCTCTTTTGGGGGCAGGGTTTGTCTTTAATTGCATGTATATACAGCACTACACAATGGGGTCTTGATCCTTGATTGCAGCTTTTGGGGACAACCACAATACTATAATAAATCATTATTAAAATAAAATAATAATAATAATGAATAATAGTCTTTTCAAACCAGATAATATATCATATAAGTGATCCTTAAAAAAAATCTATGAAAAATGGTTACTAAACAAAATAAAAAAATACTGTAACCAAGCAGTTGGGTACTATTTAGAATATTCAGAAGCATGTGTATGAATTTAAATGTGACCGCTTTTGGAGGGGCATGTTAAACACACACATATTATACACATCAAACCATCAATACACATAAGTACATCATATGCATAGAAATAAACAGCAGTACACTCACCATTTCAACAAAAATACATGCACTGTGGAGCCATCTGAATAAATGTATCCACAAGTACTTGGTGTGGTGGGGTCACATCGCTCCTCCGGCCCTGGAGCTGCGACAGGGAGAGAGAGCAAGACCCCCCCTCTCTCTCTCCCCCCGTCACGCCCCGGGCCAGAGGGGCTCTGTGTCCCTGCTTCCCCGGCCTGTCCACACACACAC